CACTGGACAGTGTTCAAGTAGAGCGCCCATATTAAGACAGGCTTGGAAGTAGGATTGGTATCCACTTCCTAAACAACATAACTTTGGAAACTCAATGAACATTAAAGAAAGGACAGTTACAATACAGGATTCAGATCTTTTGTTCATAAGGTCGTGAGTCGTGCTTGACTTGACAGTACTTAACAACAAAAGATTTCTTCTCTGTCAACAGCCCAGTTATCTTAGTTGTAAAGGTATAGAGTCGCACTGCCAACTCAAAGGAAGTGGTTTGAAATCATCAGTTGTTCCACAGGAGAAAGATGGGCAATTTCACCCAGTGTGATTTACATTCTTTGAAAACCTGCTAGAAGGTCAGTTATGAGTTGGTCCCAACTTTATGGCATTTAACAACAATAATAACAGTGTGTAGATTCCTTCCTTATCAACAGCCTTGGGTGCTTCTTGGTCCCTTGGTATTCTTTGGTTTGTAGACAATCCTCATCATGGCATCTATCTTCACCCTGTGTGACTACCTCTGTCAACCCTGTGTTTCTTTTAGAAGTATAAGTGATTAGATTTAGATCTACCTTACTCTTGTATAATCTCATTATCATAACAGAAGAAAACCTCCATTCCCAAATAAGGCCAAATTCAGAGATACAGGGGTTAGGATTTCAATTCACTTTTTTTTTCTTATTGTGATTTTAATGAAAATTTACAGAAAGACTGAGTTTTCACTCATTCACTGATGTACATTTTCCTCCCTTCCTTCTTTCCTCTTCCCTCAGTTCCCTTTATAATGCAATTCTTATTCCAGATTGTTAGTTGTCATACATACAATGCCTAATTATGCATTCTTTTCAGATAGTCCTTTCCTTCATCTGTTCCAGTGCAGCATTCATTGTCTATCCACTCTTGTCCTCTTCTCCCCTCTTCCACTGTGCCAATTGTATTTTTAACAGTTTTATGCAGCATTTGTCCTGTTGTGACTGAAATATTTCACTCAATATGTCTCAGTGCTTGCTGCAGAGGGTCAAGGACTGCAGCCTTAAATATGGATTGAGGCTCAATGTCAAGAAGACAAAAATTCTCACCCCTGGACCAACTGTCAGCATCAGGATGGATGGTGATGAGATTGAGATTGTTCACAGCTTTAGTTTGCTTGGCTTTGAGGGGACAGCATAAACCCCATTTTTTTAATAAACTCCCATTAATACCAGAAGCAGAAGTGGACCATAAACATTCTTAGCTGGCAAACACGAATGCCCTGCGTAAAGTCTTATCTGTCCCTGAAAAGTAAAGAATTAACTAGTGTCTACATGATATAAAAAGAGTAAAGGTGGGCAAAGTAGCCAGCCCATCAAAAGCCGACCCACATGACTGATCCCCCAACCCACCAACCATGATCTCAATCTTCCTGCCCCAATAGTGGCAACCAGGAAAGCCTTGGTCTTTGCAATCACTTGTTATGCATTAGAGAGTTGGACAATGAGTAAGGAGGATAGAAGGAGAATTGATGCTTTTGAGCTGTGGTGCTGGAGAAAAGTATTGAGGGTACCATGAACTGCTAAGAAAACTAACAGATTCATCCTGGAGAGGGTTAAACCGGGCAGCTCCTTGGAGGCAAGGATTCTGAGGCTCTGTCTAACATACTTTGGACACGTTGTAAGGAAGGACAGGCCCTTGGAGAGGGACATCATGCTTGGTAGGGTGGAGGGACAGCGCAGGAGGGGGGAAGGCCCTCTATGAGGTGGATTGATTCAGTGACTGGGGTAATCGGCCTGGGTATATCAGAGACAGTGCGACTGGCACAGGACAGAGTTTAGGGCTGTTGTACATAGGGTCTCTATGAGTCTCAAGCGACTCACCAACACCTAACAACAACAACAACAACAACAACAACATGTCTTCCAGACTCATTCATGTTATGTGGTGTTTACAACATCACTGTTTTTCAATGCTATGCAATTATTTCATTGTGTGAATGTACCACAGTTTTCCTATCCATTCGTTTGTTGACAAGGTAGTTGGGCTTGAATGAATTAAATACTTTTCCTGAGTTAGCTCATTAATTCCTATTAATCTTGAGAAGTTAATATAGCAATTCCATTTTACAGGAAGGAAAGTGAAGATTAGAGAGGTTAGGTTACTTATCTAAGCTTTAGATTAGTGAATAAGCTATTAATCTAAAGCTTAAACTTACTCAGTACAAATTTAAGCCTACATGCTTAATCATGGTGCCAAACTGCCTCTGTAGGATGATACTCTTTTTTTTTATTAATTTAGTTTGTTTATTTTTCATTTCAATGAACATCTACAGAGATTTTGGAATTCCATTCATTCATTGTTGCACCCTTCTCCCCGCACAAACCCCGCCCCCCTCCTAAAGTAGACGTTTAAGATGCAAACATAAAGTAAAAAGGCCAAGAAAAAAGAGAAGAAAAAGCTTTCTAAAATCTTCAAACTTGAATCTTCAATCTTGAAGAGCCCTTGAATCATTCTGATCTCTTTTGTTTCTTTTAGAAGTTATTTCCACTTTTGGAGATTGTTGTTGTTGATTATGATCTAATTGAAACTGACACATAGCATATCCTCTAGTGAGTTTTCAGAGGCAGTAAATAGCATTAGAGGAATTTGCCCATTTTTTTTTCTCCTGTGGAGCAACTGGTGGATTTGAACTGCATATGTTTGGTTGTCAGCACAATTCCTTACCACTAACCTACCAGGGCTCCTTACCTGGAGATTAGTGAGAGGAAGAAAACAATATTTGCTGATTTCTCCAGTTCGTTTTCAAGAAGTCCAACCAGGATGCTCCTTAGAGGCAAGGACAGTGAAGCTTCGTCTCACACACTTTGGGCATGTTGTCAGGAGGGGCTGGTCCTTGTAAGAGGACATGATATTAGAAAACATGGAGGAACATGAAGAGAGGAAGATCCTCAACAAGATAGACTGACACAGTGACTGTGACCACAGACTCAAGAATATCAGAGATGGTGAGGACAGTGCAGGAGAGAACAAGGTTCCAGTCTGTTATTCATGGAGTTGCTATGCATGGTAGTTGACCTGATGGCACCTAACAGCCACCACTAGTAAGTGTGCTCCCCAGAGAGTTGTGCTGCTAACTCAAAGGTGGCAGGCACCTCTCTGGAAGTTCAAATCTACCAGCAGCAGCTCGGTGGAGGGGGTGGTGGTGGCGTGGAATGAGCAATTTCCTCCCATACAATTTATAGTCTTCTCTAAATGCACTGGAGAGCCACCTAGGAGTTGGTTCTAGCTCGATGGCAATGAACTAGTTAGTTAGCTATCTTGGGGAAGGTGGTACTTTCAAGTTTGATTAAGCAGAACTTAAAATTATATTTACATCACTAGCTCTGGGGGCCTAATAAGAATCTGCACTGCAATCCCAAAGACACGGGGTTTGAATCTGCCAGCTGCTCTGTGGGAGGAGGATGGGCAGTCTCCTCCTGTGTGCTAACTGGCTCTGAAAACCCACTGGAGGGTCAGCTGGGTTGGTTCTGACTTGACGGTACACAAAAAATATTACAAAAGTTATTTTGTTATGCATGGTCATTTGAGAAATTGCTTAAACAATTTACTACACTAAATACCACATATGATGTTTAATCCTGAGAAGCCCCCTATGTGTGTAAGTTTCTTGCCTCACGTAAGACTTCAAAATATATGGTCACTCTTGCTTACATCTCCTCTGGAATCTCTGAGAATATAGGATCAAAGAAATCATTTTTAGTGAATGATTTTTCCATTCTCTTCAGCTATCTTTTCTCCTGACCGATAAGAGTAAACAATCCTATATAGTTGACTATTGAGCATCCTGTCTCCATACCTTTCAACCTGTATGCAGAGCAGATTATCTGGGAGGCTGGGCTCTATGAGGAGAATTGTGGCATCAGGATTGGTGGAAGATCTATTAACAATCTGCGTTATGCA